GACGTTCAACAACTATTTGCTGAGTCTATGAAAACACAAAGAGAAAGAAAAAATAATAACTTTGCAGTGTTGAGTTCAATAGCTACTCTGAAAGCATAAGTCTTCATCTAAAAAAATTTCAAAAAATTTTTAAATGACAGGAAACAATACACCTTGAATAACAGCAAAGCTGAATCCTTAGGAACGGAAAACAAATGACATTTATGCAAAAGTAGGAAAGGCTGAATCTCAGTCATAATTCATAGTGAAATCAGGGCTGATCTATACCTCAGTTTTGGAAGAGAAAAATCTCCTGCTTATATCACACAAAAGATTTTAATATCTTATCAAATAATATCTCTTAAGGAGCTCAAAATTTAGAAATAGAAAAAATAATATAACAATTACATATTCCAAGAAATACAAAAAACTGCTTTTAACCTTTAAGTTAGATTTTTTTCCAGAATAATTATACCTAAGACCTAAACTTTCAATTTTGCATTTTCAATGGTTTGGGAAGGGATTAAATGTAAATTTAAAGGTCTCAGGCCAACATAAGGGCCCAAGGCAGGTGTGATCTTAGAAAGTTGTCTCTCAGGCAGAGATTAGAATGCAAGGCATTCCTCAGGGTCCTCTCAGGATGTTCATGTGGAAAGCAAGGACAGAGAGCAAGACTGCACAGAAGCAATGTTCCTGATGTTCCCTAGGCCCACCCTATAAGATATTCTCAAGTGGGGTGGCCCTTGCACATGGCCCTTGAATGGGGTGAGGGGAGCTTATCCCTGCACTAATTAGGCAGGTGAGCCAATTGCCCTTGGGAGGGGAGAATGGCACTGGGCAGAGACTCTGCAGCCAAGGCAAACCTTTAAGGAAGCTTAAAATGGAGTGTGAGTTGGCGACTAGAGAAATAAATCCTTCAATCTTGAATGGGGATTGAGCAGTGCATCACGATGCTAGTTCTTGTGCCTGGTCCACAGTGACATTTTCATCCACTTGTTACTGAGGAACATTCAAATGAGATTTGTGGGGTGAAGCACAGCCCACCTGGAGAAACACAGAGAGCATTTGTGTCTGCCTCCACAGAAATGGAAATTCTTACATTTTAGTTAAACCAAATTTCAATGACAAATGAACTGACTATCTAGGACAATAGGTCTACTGCAAATATTTGACTAAAGTTTCTCTATCAACTAGCCTTAGAAATTGATACAGATAATCCAAAACCAAGGAAAATCCCCTCCCTCTCTCCATAAATGGGGCTGTGTAATGTGCAACACAGCAAGTCTCTCACCATAACTGCTTAATACACAGAGTTCTGGCAGGTTACTACAAAAGGTTGTGTTGAAAAACAACACCAATTCTTAGCAAAAATGAGAATGAGATCAATAAAAGTATCCTCCAGAACTTTTCTTTTCATGTATAGGACATAGCCTAGAAATATATGATGAGGATTTATTGTCAAGTCTTTCCTCATGTCAGAGGATGACATGGATTAGGACTGACACCCCTCTCCTCATACCCCTCCTTCTGATATCGCACTGTCTTCTAGTATCTAAGGCCTTCTTAGGGAAGGACTTCAAATTTTCACTTTAAGACAGTGTTTCCTTCGTGCACTGGGAATTGGGAATATGCTCTAAATGTTTGTTCCTGAATCCCACCCCAGACCAGCTTACTCAGATTGAGAACAAGGAAGTTGCATTCTGCCTCTCTCCCCTTCCTCCCTCTCCCCTCCATCCCCCTTTTAAAAATCTGGCTGCACCATTCTGCACACAGGAATTGTAAACACTTCTCCGCTCCCCTCAATGGTCTCGGCCATTGCACTGCATGTGTTTGACTGAACTAAGTGCATCCATCGTAAGGAAGGCCGAGCACTTTGAATGAAGAGAGTCTCTAAGAATTCATCTCAATGGGAAATTTTTCACCACCAGGATAAAATAGTTACCAAAACTTTCCTTATTTCTGCTTCGTTTCTTCTCCTTTCCCAGTGTTGTTTGACAATAGCCTTATCTTTTTGCCTCTTTAATCTTGGATCCTTCCATTAAATATATGTATCAGGCAGGAAAATGCTACAGTATAAGCAACCTTAGATTTATGTAGTTTAATAACTTCTGAGTAACTAACTCAATTCTAAGAAATAAATATTATAATTAGACATGAAAACAAACTTACCACACTTCTCTGGGGAGCCAGAGTATGACAGGAAAAAGGAAGCAAATGAAAAGAACTTAACTGTCACATTAGTGTGAAGTATACCGAATTAAAATTAAGTACATTTCTTAACTGCAGATTGTGTATTTTTCATAAAATACAATATATGCATTATGCTCCAGTTTTTCTTGGACACTTTCTTTGAGTCTTCTTACTCTGAGACCACTATGGGAAAGAATGTCCTAGATTGTAGCAGCTTGCCTGTCCATCAGTTACATTCAGGCTGTAGTCTTTGCTGCATTTTGAAATTCTTTGGCTGAATATGACTTCTAGCAATTATCGGGGCTACTTAATTCAACTTGGGGCTCAATTTAAAATTTGAGCAACATACCCAAAGTAGGTCTTCATTTTCTATCATTTTAGTAAATTGCATATTTCAGACCCACTTTTTCATACTTTCTGAAGTTTACTTTTAAATTTATTATGGAGTCTTTGTCCAATGTCTTGCAAGTACTTTTTGCTTCTGTTCAAGTTGGCTAAAAGACCTATTTAAAACTAATTATTTCTATGTTCAATGGAACATGGACTCAGAGGAGGTGTGATTGAAAAATTTGTTGAATGTTTAAATTTATTGCCATTAAACCCTCTCAAAAATATTCCCCCTCACTTCAAAAATACTTGTCCCATCTTTCTTGCCACTTTCTTTCTTTTTTTTTTTTTTCACTGAGTTTATTGGCACATTTAGTATACAGTACAGTTGCATTCATCATTGGGATCTTGTACCTTTACATGACAGGTCTTGGTTCTCATTTTCCCCTGTACACCTGCCCCCTCTTCACCCCCTCCTCCCTTCCCTATTTTCAAAGACTTTGTTTCTATTTTTTCCTTTTCTCATATATTTTCTTTTCCCTTCTTTCTTTTCCCCTACCCTTCCCACTTCCCCTATTCCTCTAGCTCTTCCTATTTCACAATATCAATTATAAAATTTAAGTATTATTTACACTTTTAGTTTTTCACATCAGAGAAACTGGTACTTACACGTGTGTCTTATTTATTTCACTTGAGAGTATTGCCTCAATATGCATCCATTTTCTATTTTCTCATTCTTTATGGCTGAGTAGTACTCCATTTTATAGAAAAACCACATCTTCTTTATCCAGTCTCCAGTTGATGGACAACTGGGCTGTTTCCAAGTTTTAGCTATTGCAAACTGTGCCATTATAAACATGAGTGTGCATATATCACTGTGGTATGATTCTTTTCATTCTTCTGGAAAGATACCCAGCAGAGGGATAGCTAGATCAAACAGAACCTCTAACTCTAGTTGTTTGAGGTATCTCCATTTTGACTTCCTCTTGATTAAAAAGCTTCTTCTGCAAGAGATTAGTTGTTTGAGGTATCTCCATTTTGACTTCCTCTTGATTAAAAAGCTTCTTCACTGCAAGAGAAACCACCAACAGAGCTAAGAGACAACCTACAATATGGGGAAAAAAATTTTATCAGCTACTCCTCAGACAAAAGACTATTATCTAGCAAATATAAAGAATTCAAAAAAATCAGACCCCCCCAAATATAAAGACCCAATTCAAAAATGGGCATCGGTGATATGCAGCCATTTCTCAGACAAAGAAGTAAAAGCAGCAAATAAACATATGAAAAAATGTTCATCATCACTGTTCATTCAAGAGATGCAGATGAAAATAATGCTACGATTCCACCTCATCCCAGAAAGAATGGCTGCTATCAAGAAATCAACCGATAACAAATGATGGCAGGGCTGTGGGGAGAAAGGAACTCTTCTCCATTGTTGGTGGGAGTGCAGACTGGAGCAACTTCTTGCCACTTTCTGAAGCAATTCTGGAAGTCCTCTTTTGTGAGTGCCTTTAATTGTGGTATGGTGGCTGCCTTGATGTCCTCAGTCACTTCAAACATTTATCTTTCATGGTCATTTTGACTTTGGAGAAAAACCAAAAGTCACATTACCATATCCAGAAAATAAAGTGATTGAGAAGACACTAAGGCTTTTCCAAGCCTGCCTTTTCACTTGGCAGCAGAATTCACCCCACTTTTATCATATCTTGTAAAGACATTCACAAAAGAGGATTTCCAGAACTGCTTTGGAAAGTGATAAAAGCAAGGAATGGCATAGTGCATGGTTTTAATTCCACACTCAGGAGGCTGAGGCAGGAGGATTGCCATGAGTTCCAGGCCAGGCTTGGGTACACAGTGAGTTCAAGGTCAACCTGCACTATAAAGTGAGACCGTGTGTCAAAAAAGAGTAGGAAGAATAATGGGATAAGTGTGTTGGGACTGGGGGATGAAATATTTTGAGTTCAGTTCATGGCAATGTGTATTTTACTGTGATAAGTTTTAAAAGTTAAGACATTTGCTATATATTGTGATCATGTTGCACATATCTACTGTATCCTTTTTATTGCATTTAGCACTTTGGTATTTGAAAATAAAAGTCTTCTGAAACATTAGTGCCTATCTCAAATAAATATTTAAATTCACAGTGTTCAATATAAAGTTCTAAATGAATGCTTATTATGCAACTACAATGACATTTTCACCAATAATTCATTACTACTTCCTTCTCTTAAAGCTAGTATCTATTATTTTTCTTGAATGTGTCAGAGCTTCTTTATTGATAATTTCTTGAGTTTCCATAGATAACTTGAGAGGATTTACCTGTAAAATGTCAGTGGAATAGCAATGCAGATTTCATCATAAAGACCTAATCAAGAATACATAAGGCAGTGAAGTTTTAGAGGTAGCAAGTTAGAGTCATTCCATTCAGATGCATCTTAGAAGTACATTGCTGTATAAATAAAATAATAGTGTAATGAATTTTTAATGGTCTTTCTTCCCAGCCTCTACAAAGGTAGCTTGTGACACTGTCTGGGAGAAGGACTTCAACTCACACATTTGCTACCAATTCAACTTGCTTTCATTTCTCTCCTGGAATGAGGCACATTCTTCATGCCAGATGCAAGGAGGTGATTTATTAAGTATTGAGGATGAAAGTGAAGAAAATTTCATAAAGAGTAAGTAGGTGGCTGATGCACACTGATGTTTATACAACAAAATGACTGCTAACAGTTATGTTCCTGCTATCTTCTGAAGATTTTACCTAAAAATATTTTCCTTTCTTTATTATGGCCTAAACTCTTACCCGAAATTTCTACACGAATCTTGGGCCTTTCCTCCTGACAATCATTTGTGTCTTTCCATTTTCCTTCCTTAAAAAGGAAATTCAAGGCCACACCAAGGGACCCAGGAGAACTGCAGTGCTATCAAGTGGATCAGTAACTTCTGAATTTAAGGACCAATTCTTGGTCTTCTGGAGACGTTCGCCATGCAATTTCCATTTATAAATAATTAAGGAATCTATTAATTAAAAGCATACCTGTCAGTGTATGCAAATATGTCTTAGAGCTTTTAGTGAATGCCAAAGAACTTAAAATTTAGTGGGAAAAGCAAAAGTATGGGCATGTGAACTAACAATATAAAACAATAACATAAAATGTCAAAGGCATTGTGCTAATGAACTGAGAACTGTTTCACTCATCATCAAAATGCTTCCCTTACCTCTCTTTTACAGATTAAATGTATTTATTCCCCTCTTTAAAATTTTTTAAACATTAAAAAGTGTCACAAAATTAGTCACTTTAATTAAACATTTCTGACCCTATTTTTTTCTCAAATTGTATTGGACATGTAGTACATGTTTATTTTGGAATAATTTTTAATTCAGCTATACAGGAGGAAAAGCAAATGAAAAATCTTCCACCATTCTACAATCTGGTTAGCCATATTTTTCTGCAAAAACATATATATACACATGTACATATATATATCTATAAAAAGAGTAGTGTATAAAAACATGAGGGGGTTTCTTCAGTATTTAGGTGTTTAATGATCACTCAGCTCTCTGTCTGCATTTGAATCTTGCCTTTATCACTGATTAGTGGCTCCTCAAGATTCTTAACCACTCTGCACCTGAACTGCCCTATTCTGCAAGTGGAAATAATAATAGTATGTATTTCTTCACATGTGCTACATCTTACAATGCAGGTGAAATCCTAGAAAAGTAACAGACACACATAATAAAATACTCATTTTACTGTGTACAAACCATTTGATGACCACCTTGGTCCTGGTTTGGAAAGCTGCTTATTTAATTTACCTGCATATAGTGAAGATCTGTCCATGTCTCTAAATACAGTTTTATATAATTTTGGTTTTTATTTATATATTTGTTTTTATTACAAACCATCCTTCTACATTCACGTGTACACTGCTCCAGAATCACTTTTCTGTAAGTCTATAGAAGTAGATTCACTGGATAGAAGAGGAGACTTACTTTAAAGGTTTTGAAAGTCAGTAACGCTTTGCAGAAAGATTGTAACAAATGGATAAACAGGGTTTGCTTTTCCCCCACAGCTGTGCAAAAGCAGAGAATTATCACCGAAACTGATTTGACTGAGTATTATTGGAGGAACACATAAGTTTCCAAAATCATTACTAACTTCAAATGGGTTTTATGTAAAGATTTGCACACCATTTAAACATCTCAATTGCCAGGATCTCCTATAAGAGGATTTCGACCTAGTCATCAAACTTGAGTAACAATTTTTTAAACTATGATGTATCACAGCCTTTGATTTAAATACTCCAATTCTATTATTAGGCTTTGGGGATTGTTTAGGAAATAGAAATCTGACCAAAGTTTTGGAGGTGTTTGCTTGCTTTTTGCAGTATGGAAGATTGAGTTACAGGGACTTCACAGCTGAACTTTGTCCCAGGCCTTTTATTTTATTTTTTTATTTTGAGACAAGCTCTTGCTAAGTCACTAGTTTGCCCAGGCTGTGTTTAAACTTGCAGTCCTCCTCCCTTAGCCATCTATAGTGCTGGGGTTACAGGCATGTGCCACCACGCCCGGCTACCAAAGTATTTTTAATGAGGAGAGAATGGTACTAATAATGTTTTGTGCTAATCACTGATGAACATTAAATATGACATAAGAAATTATGTAAGCTTCATGAATGCCATGAAACATTTGCAGGCCTTTGTGTTTGAATTTGTTATTAAAGTATTATAGGCCAATTTAGTTGTAAAGGTAAATTAGCTATTTCTACACCTTTAAATACAGACTATACATTACAGAATAATTATATGTGAATTAATAAAACAGTTGTATAACCATTGTTCAAAATAGCTCCAAAATTAATCAAAATTTTAATTGGATTATTTTAAAATATCATCTGATGTTAACCTGGATATGAAATGTAGAAAATTTGCCCTGAAAATTTAGTTATTGCATCTTCTAATCCACTGCTGTCATTACAATACCTATTAAGTGATTTAATCAAACACTTGGTATTGAAAGCAGTAAATGAGTAACTATTAGGAAGAGATTTCATGTAATGTCACAGGAACTTGGAAATGGGCCCATACGTGATATGTTGTTTCCATTTAGTGATTTCTGGTGTCTCTTTTGGTTCCTCCAGTTTCCCACTATTGTATTAAACAGTCTGTGGAGGACGCTGCAGCCTTCTTATGTGAATACCCTGACCCCATGTCCTTCTATTCATGGTTTATCATCCAACCCAAGACTCCTGAGAGTGAAAAGAACTGTGATTAATTATTATTCTCAAACATCAGCATAAATCGTGAGCTTCCCAGGGAAGCTGGGACATAGAGACAGGTGTCTCAATCTCAGGATGGGTTTCTATGTCTGGTTCAAAATAAAGTGAGTTCTGAAACAAATAGATGAACTATACAAAAACAATGCTGTCCTCCATAGAACAAATAGTGAAATGGCAACCTGAGAGAGTGTCACACAAAATTGTCCATTTTCACTAAATTTCAGACATTGGCTTTTCTCAAATATTATTACACTAGTAGTACATATTTAGAAAAAATATTTAAATTCAGGGGCATAAACAGAGAAATCAAAGGAAAACTTCCCGTAATTCCACAATTTTGATGACCATTTTTTTCTGCACAAATATGTCCCTCCGTGTCTATAGCATCTGCAACAACAATGGTGCTGACCAAGCTGGAAATTGCTATGGTACAGTGGTTAGGAACACGAGCCTCAAGAGTATGTAACCTTCTCCCACCAAAAGTGCAGTAGTAGAAGCTGCCTCGAATTTGTGCTGTGTGTGGCTGTGGTCCCCACTTGCTGGAGACCACTCTTGGTACTGGATGATGTTGCTTCTCTTGGCCAGATAGTTCCCAGTGGCCCCCTCTGCCTCGTACTCCTTCTTATTTAAGGCCTTGTCTCTTCTTCGTTTCTGGGAGTGACCATGGACACTTCTTCCTCCCTCTAAAACTCTTTAAGTACATGAGTTCCTGAAAATAAAATGGACTTAAATTTTTCACCACATGCCCTGGAAGAGATGGAGGACTATAGAAGACAGTACTACTGGACGCTCACAAGAAGGACTTCAAGTTAAGAAATGCTGTCAGTGAAGCACAGGGAGGCTTGGATTCCTGAAGAAGAAATAAGTTCACTTTGTCACGCTGTAGTACCTAAAACTGTCTTTCATTGACTGGGATTAATTGATGACTCCATGATCCAGGAATAGGGTAAAATGAAAAATGTAACACTGAATTACTTTTGAAGCTCCATGATTTTCCTTTCAGAGCACATGAGCCATGAAGCGGTGGAAGTGTGGATAGGTTTGAACCAGCTGGATCCACACGCTGGATGGCAGTGGTCCGACGGAGCACCGCTGAGCTATCTAAATTTGTATCCAGGTACCCATCCGCAGCACTTTACTTACCTTTGGCAGGTGACATCATCCTGCAGACATAAACATCAGCATTTCTCAAGTAGATATTAGGCATGTTGTTCTGAATTACTCTAAGGGAAACTCGTTCCAACAAGAAGGGAGAGGCCAGGAAGGTAAGCTAGTCCGCCAAAGTTGGGAAATTTGGGTCATAGCCAAAAGTTTGGTCAGCTGTTTTAAAAACAATAACAGACTGGTAAATAATCCTCATCTTTAAAACAATAAAATAGTGCTTTTACTAACTTTGGCAAATCATTTAACTCATGCCCAGATTTTGACTGTAACATCGTAGGTATATCATGATATCTCAGAGGATTCACTATCTGTACCAAACTAAAGCATTCCCTGATATTAAAACTGCAGTTTAGTTTGTATTAAGCTGACATTAAAAACACACATTGTATTTTCAGAAATCCATTTTGATCCATTTGTTGAATATCACTGTGGAACATTTCATTCATTTATGCCAACTGCCTGGAGGAGTAGGGATTGTGAGTCCACCTTTCCTTATGTATGTAAAAAATATCTAAACCACACAGATCATGAAACAGTTGGTAAGTTTTCATTTTAAGTTGGTTTTACGTGTTATTTTCTCGTCCTCTTAATATATTCAAGTTCCTCTTTTTCTGCTAATACTTCGTAATTTAAACTTATCTAAAGCTGGCTTATAGGAGTAAAAATATGTCCCTAGATGATATCTGTATTCCAAAAATACTATGAATCTAACAAATACATTACATTTTTTACTAAAAACTAAAGCAATATAACCTCAACATAGTAAGCATTTTCTCCCTTATTTTAGAAAATTTGCTTTAGAAAAACAAGATATGCTCTCCTTTCTATCTCATTTTTGAGTTTGGTTTGTGGTTCCTCTGAAAATTATATATAAAAGAAAATAATATTATAAATCTTTACCTCATTGATTTTCTCTTTTGTTGCTGTTAACTTTTTCAATTGACATATATGTCATTTATGGGGTACAATGTGATATTTTGTTACATATATCCAATGTATAATCATCAAATCAGGGTAGTCAGCTTATCCAATTCTTCAAACATTTAGCATTTCCTTGTGGTGAGATCATGTAAAATCCTTTTCTAGCTGCTTTGAAATACTCTGTGCACTATTTTTAATTAGAGTCACCCTACTGTGCAATAGAACCAAACCTACTTCTCCTCTCTAATTGTCACTTCACACCCTCATTTGTGGATTCTCTGCCCATTCCATATCTCTTTTTAGAAACCCACCCTGTCCCTGGAGACAACACACAAACCTGGGGGGGAGATAATTGAGATTATCTAGTGATAATCTAATACTTGTAGTAGGATTATTTTTGTTTTTAAGCTCTATTGCTTCTTTTTAGCTTATGTAGGAATTAATACCTCAACTCAAAAGTAGATAAAAACAACCATCATTTAAAGAAGCGCTACAAGAGTAACCCTAGATTTAAAATAAACTGTTACCATGTTTAAAATATTGCCCCTTATAATTAATTTTAACTGCCATTTCCCTTTAAATTGCTATTCCTGGGAGGAATGTAGTGTAGAGGAAAGGGAGGGAAGAGAACAAGCCTCCTGTCATGTTTTATTAGTACATGTTTATAGTACATAATGTTTATGTTACATGTATGCATTGTTCAATGAGCAAATCAGGGTGATTAGCTTATCCATTACTTCAAGCATTTATCATTTCTTTGTTGTGAGAACATGTGAAACCCTTTTCCGGCAGTAAACATTGGAACACACAACACATCTTGATTTGTTTTTTACCTCCTTTCCCTTTCCTCCCTCCTCCCTCCATCTGTCTCTCTCTCTCTCTCTCTCTCTCTCTCTCTCTCTCTCTTTTTTTTTTTAATGTAGAGACTTTTTCCATTATTTGAAAATTTTCCTAAATTTACTACTGGCTGTTGCTTTTCTCCCCTTCTTTCTTCCTTCTTTTGCCTGTCTCAGTTTCTTCCTTAAGTCCTCCAACACTCCCTCCTGCCACCTTTCTTTTGTCTGCTTTACTTATTATTCTGACCACAAGATCAGAAATGGGAGTAGATACACTAACCATGTTTGGATGATTTCTTTGTGCTCTGTATTTAACTTCTTCTGTCAGTCCAGTCCTTTATCTCTAAACTGTATTTCTGGGATCCGGAGGGTCTTTTAAAAAAATCTGAAGCATAAAATTATGCATATTAATGGGTGCCATGTAATGTTTCCATACATGTACACTTTACACTATGTTTCAGCAAGTTAAGCATATCTATTTCCTCAAAGGTTAATCATTCATTTATGGTTAAATTTTACTAAATTATTTTAGCTTCTCAAAATGTACAATGCATCATTGTTATCTATAGTGACCCTACTATGTGTAAGAGCACACCAGAACCTCTCAGTCCCATCTAACTGTAATTCAATGCCCATTCATCAACCTTTCCCTGGCCTTCTCCCCCTAGTCACCATGGCCTCTGTGACCACCACCTTCTTCTAGAAGTTGATTTTTTTAAATTCCATATATGAGTGAGATTACGCAGTACTTGTCTTTCTGTGTCTGGCTTAGTTCAGGGACCATAATTATCTCGTTAAATCTATGTTATTACAAAATCTATGTTGCTTCATCCTTTTTTGTAGGAAAATGGTATCCACTGTGGATAGTTTCGCTATCCATTCATCCGTTGATAAACACTTAGGTTTTTTCTGTTTCTTGATTACTGTATATAGTATAACACTGAACACTGGAGTGCAAATGTGTCTGACACATTGTTTTCATTTTCTTTGGCTGTACGCTCAGTATTGGGATGCTAGATGATAAGGTAGCTCTAGGTTTAACTTTTTGAGGAATCCCCTACTGTTTTTCATTATAGCTATACTAATTTATAGTCCCATCAATAGTAAGTGAGAGTTCATTTTACTCTGCCAGTACTTACAGTTTTCAGACCTTTTGCTAACAGCCATTCTTGTTAGGGTGCAGTGATAACCCACTGCTGATGATCAGCGATGTTCACTTTTTCATACAAGTTGACCAATTGAACAAGTGTGTCTTCTTTTGGTAAATGTCCATTTAGATCTACTGATCAATTTTTAATTTTTTTCATTTTTATTTTGTTTGGTTTGGTTTTTTACTTTTGAATTTTTGGAATTCTTGTGTAGTCTGGCTGTCATCCCTTGTCAAATGGGTAATTTACAAACATCTCCAATTTTGTAGGCTGTCTCTGCATTCTGCTGATCATTTCCTCTGCTGTGCAGAAGAGTTTTAGTTAAATGACATCCCATTTGTCTATTTTCACTTTTCTTTCCTGTGCTTTGAAAGCTATTGTCTAAAAGATCCATGCCCATTCCAATGTCCTTAACCATTTTTCCTATGTTTTCTTCAAGTACTTTCATAGTTTCAGTCCTACATTTTGAGTTGTTGTTTGTAACTGGTGACAGAAATGTTGAGTTTTATTCTTCTGCATGTAGATATTCAATTTTCCAGCACTATTTGTTGAAAAAAAAAAGCTGTCTTTTCTCCAATGCATGTTTTCAGAACCTTTGTCAAAAATCAGTGGGCTGAGCCAGGGATTTAGCTTAATGGTTCCACTGTCTGCCTCACAAACACAGGGACCTGATTTCAATCCCCAGTACCAAAAAAACAAAAACAAAAACAAAAATCGGTGGGCTATGGACACATGGGTTCATTTTTAGGGTTTCACTTCTGTTCTGTTGGTCTGTCTGTTTTTATGCCTCTACCGTGCTTTCTTATTTATTACACCTTCGTATTATGTTTTGAAGTCAGGTAGTGTAATACCTTCTTCTTTATTATTTTTGCTTAAAAAGGGCTTTGGCTATTTGGGGATTCTGTGGTTCTATATAAATTGGAGCATTGTTTTATGTAGTTCTGTAAAGAATGTCTTTGATATCTTGATAGGCTTCGCATCAAATCTGTAAATTAGTTTGGGTATATGAACATTTTAACAATATTATTTGTCCAATCTATGAATACAGGATGCCCTCCCGCTTCCTTGTGTCCTATTTAATTTTTTTCACCAATATTTTATAACTTTCATTGTACGGGTCATTAACTTCATGGGTTAAATTTATTCCTACATGTTTTTAAACTATTATAACTGGGCCTACTTTCTTGATTTCTATTCAGATAATTCACCACTGGCATATAGGAATGCCACTACTTTTTATATATTTACTTTGTTTCCTGCCACTTTGTTGAATTTGTTAGTTCTAAGAGGTTTTTGCTGGAATTTTGAGGGTTTTCTATATATAAGATGTCATCTGAGAACAATGACAGTTTGACTTCTTTTTTTCCCAATTTAGATGCTCTTTATTTCCTTCTTTTGCCTACTGGTCTGGCTAGGACTTACAGCACTATGTAGGATAAAAGTGGTGAAGGTTGGACTCTTTGTCTTGTTGTGGAAGTAAAAATATTTTAGGTTTTGCCCATTCAGTATAATGTTACCTATTAACTTATAGTTTTTCTTATGTTGAGATATATTTCTTCTATACCTACTTAATTCTTTGCACGTATTATAGAGGGAGGTTGAATTTTTTCAAGTGTTTTCCTTGCATCTGTTGAGGTGACCAAATAGTTTCTGTCCTTCATTCTGTTGATTTGGTGTGCTACATTTACTGATTTGTGTATACTGAACCATTTTTGCATCCCTGGGATGAATTTCACTTCATTGTGAGGAATAATTTCTTAAAGGTGCTACTGCATTCAGTTTGTTAATATTTTGGGAGGATCTTTGTGGCTGTGTTCATCAAGGATGTCCTGCAGAGGTGGTGGGAGAGAGAGAGAGAGTGGTATTATGTCCTTATCTGGTTATTCCATCCAGATAATTCTAGCATGGGTAGAATATGTTTGAAAGTATCCGTGTATCTTCTATTTCTTTGAAATAACTTAAGGAGAATTAGTGTTAGTTCTTCTTTAAATGTTTGGTATAATTCAGCAATGGGTTTTTCACAGATGATAGACTTTTATTACTGGATTCCATCTTCTTATTTATTATTGGTCTGTTCAGACTTTCTTTTTGTCTGTTTGGGTTTTCTATTTTTTCATTATTCATTCTTGGTAAAGTCTATGTTTCTGACTCAGTATATTTCTTCTAGTTTATAAAATTTGTTGGCATAGAATTGTTCGTAATAATCTGTAATAATCTTTTATTTCTATGATATTTCTTTTTAAATTTTGCTTTTTTAGCAGCGATTTCTTAGTCTAGCTTAGGGTTTACCTTGCTTCTATTTTCAAAAAAACCAACTCTTTTTCAT